CGGAGTCGGACTCCCTTCGTGCTGCCAGTCCGACTGTCACGCGTCTCCTTGCTACTGTTGTCACTGACCCTTCCTTTGAGTCCACTGCTGCGTCTGCCCTAGTTGCTGAGCTCGTCGACTTTGCTGCTCGCTGTCGTCTAGACTACGCTGCTAGTCTTGTTGCTGAGTCTGAGTCTGTCTGTCCTCCGTCCGTCGGGGGTGAGTGTGCCCTTGGCACGGACGTCCTTGAGGACAGGCAGGAGGAGTTCCAGTGTCTGGCTGCTGCTTCACCTCATCTCGTGTCCGTACTGCTTACCCCTGAGGGAGACCCGGATGCACTTGACATCCCGACTCCGCGCTCTTACGCGGAGGCGATAGAGGGTCCTTACTCCTCTCAGTGGCAGGCAGCTATGGACGCAGAGATGGCTTCCTGGAAGTCCACAGGCACCTACATTTTCCTCTGACTTTCGAGGTTCCGCAGCCTTGACATCACCGCTAGTCTCCACGTCAGCAGCTGGATCCGACAATGCATCTGGACCATCGACGGCGCTGCTGCGGCTGCTACCGGTTTCGCGAACAAGGTAAACGAAAGCGTAACCACCTTCGCCAAGGTTCTGCACGATGCGAAACCGTCGCCCGTTGACCTTCACCTCCTCGCCACTACTCACAGCGTCATAAATCGCCGTCAATCCCGACCACGTGCAACCCATTAGGTCTTTAATATCCTTAAGCTCCCTAATATCCTTGAGATCTTTCGCGTTGCTGCTGTTCCGGGCAGCCCCGTGACGAAAAGTTTCGACGAGGTGCTCTACGTTTTGAGTCACTTGTTTCACGCCCTTGTTCTCAAACACGTTGTCGACAAGCTTCTCCACGTTCTGTTTCACGCCTTGGCTGCCTGCAAACACGCTCTCGTATGTGGATTTTCAGGGTGAAGCGGCCGCCGGGTTCTCCGCCTGTCTTCAAGGCGCGTTACGTGGCTCGTGGCTTCAGTCAGCGGCAGGGAGTTGACTACTTTCAGACCTTCTCTCCCACCCCGAAGATGACCACTCTTCGGGTACTGCTGCACATAGCTGCTCACCGCGACTACGAGCTGCACTCTCTTGACTTCAGCACTGCTTTCTTGCAGGGCAGCCTGCACGAGGAGATCTGGCTGCGTCGCCCACCTGGCTTCACTGGGTCCTTTCCTCCTGGCACCTAGTGGAGCCTCCGGCGGCCAGTCTACGGTCTCCGCCAGGCACCGCGTGAGTGGCACGACACACTGAGGACTACACTTGCGGCTCTTGGGTTTGCTCCCTCTACTGCCGACCCGTCGCTGTTTCTGCGCACCGACACTTCTTTGCCGCCGTTCTACATCCTCGTGTACGTCGACGACTTGGTCTTCGCCACAGCTGACACTGCTGGACTCGCCCACGTGAAGTCCGAGCTGCAGAAGAGACACACGTGCACAGACCTGGGTGAACTGCGCAGCTACCTTGGCTTGCAGATCACCCAGGACAGAGCACGCCGCACCATTACCCTGACTCAGTCACACATGGTGCAGCAGGTCCTTCAGCGCTTCGGCTTCACGTACTCCTCGCCTCAGGCCACTCCTCTGCCTACTCGCCACTTGCTCTCAGCTCTGCCTTCGGATGAGTCCGTAGAGTCGAGTGGCCCGTACCCAGAGCTTGTTGGCTGCCTCATGTACCTGATGACCTGCACACGACCTGACCTTGCATACCCTCTTAGCATTCTTGCACGCTATGTTGCTCCTGGGAGACACAGACCGGAGCACATGGCTGCAACGAAGAGGGTGTTGCGCTACTTGTGCAGTACGTCGGGCATGGGGCTTGTGCTTGGAGGGCAGAGTCCAGTGGTCCTCACTGGGCACGCAGACGCTTCTTGGGCTGACGACCAGGCTACGCAGCGGTCGTCACAGGGTTACACCTTCAGCCTTGGTTCCGGCTCTGTTTCGTGGCGGGCTACCCGCTCGTCTTCTGTTCTCGGCTCCAGTTGTGAGGCTGAGATATACGCCGGGGCCATGGCTGCACAGGAGCTTCGCTGGCTCACCTACCTGCTGACTGACCTCGGAGAGCCGCCTCGTTCTCCTCCAGTGCTGTACGTAGACAACAAGGCCATGCTGGCCTTGTGTCGAGAGCAGAGACTGGAGCACAGAACGAAGTACATTGCTCTTCGCTACTTCCTTGCTCGTGAGCTACAGCAGCGTGGTCAGCTGCGGCTTGCGTACGTGGCCTCTGAGGCCAACACTGCTGATATCTTCACCAAGGCACTTGCGCCTTGTGATCATCAGCGCTTCTGTACTCAGCTTGGTCTTGTGCCTACCTTGCCTCACTTGCTCACCCCTTGACCTTGTTTGTACTGTTGCATATATATATATACACCTTCTCTTGCTTGTCTAGTCTTATATATATATATATGTAATCCTGCATGTGAACTGGCCTTGTGGCCTTGAACTTGTGCTCGGAATGTGTGGTGACTTTGTGATCCACCCTGAGCTTGTTTTGCTTTGCTTGACTGGTCTTGTGACCCCTTGTTCTCCCCCACTTTGCCTATGGGGGTGTGTCAGATTTATATGACATAGCTACTGTAGGCTATAGTGGGGTAGCACATATGGGGTACAGTTTTCTAGGGTTTGCTTTTGTACCCAACTTTCCTTTAGTCATTCCATTCCTCGTTTCTTCTCATACTGAGCCCTGGCGTCGTTGGTGTCGTCCACCGGTTTAGGATAGGAGCCGTCGAAGTACTGAGCCCTGGCGTCGTTGGTCCTGCTGACTCTGGGGGTGCGGGTGCACCCTCTTCGGGTCCTGGTGAGCCTGGTCGTGTTGCTGTTGGTGGTGCTGACTCTGAAGGTGGTGCGCCAGGTGCTTTGGAGGGCGGTCCCGGGGCTGCCGCAGCCCCCGACACTACTCCTCCCCCCCACCCCTACCCGACCCGGCACCAGGCTCGTGTTCGCCGTGCCCGTGAGGAGCAGCTGGAGTTGGAGAGAGAGGAGAGAGAGTTGCAGCGTCTGGAGGAGCAGCAGCAGCAGCAGGAGCAGCTGCAGCAGCCGCAGCTAGAGCCGCCGCAGCAGCAGGCGGCGCAGCAGCTGGAGCCGCTGCAGCAGCACGAGGAGCAGCAGCCGCCGCCGCACTGGTCTTGTGACCGTACACTTTTGGTTTTGCTTGACTCCCCTCACTTAGGCTATGGGGGTGTGTCAAATGTTGTAGCCTGTAGTGAGGTTTGTCTTAGGGGGTACAGATGTTAGGGTTTGTTATATGTACCCCAACCCACATCAATGAACCAACACTTCTATTCTTGACATACAGGAATGCCTTCTCATGTATTTTCATATCGTAACAGCTTCAATTTTGTTTGCAAAATCGTCGCTGCTATCGTCATCGCTAGTACAGCATTTTCGCTTGCGAAAATTGTCCCAACGATTTGCGAGGAAAGCTCGGTATCTACTAGGTCACACCCAACCAAAGTTAGGAAGGTCGAGGCAGTTTTGAGCTGTTTGGGACTCCGGTTTTAAACACGTAGAAATGGAAAATCGGTTTACGCTTCAATCTAGCCAGACCTATTCGGGACGTGTCAGGGTTCATATTTCGCACGTGCTTTGCAAGCGAGCTCAAAACACCACCGCGTTACCCGATTGTCGAAATCGTGGGGTGCATTTTCGCGAATGTAACGAAGGCGTGGTGTTTCTGTGGGCCACAGTCGCCGAACTTGACCCCAATCTATCGAAGGTGTGGCCTTCCGTCGGAAGGGTTACCACCCCCAAATCTTGTCACATTGTCCTGGATTTTGTTCGGCCAAGACCGGGTGTAACCGTTCGTAAAACCTTTTGTTTTTACGTGCGGTTACACAGTATTTCTAACTAGCAACTTAAAGTTAAATAACTGACAAAGCCCCAACAGCATTCCGCATGACACGCCCTGACTGTACTCTCGCCAAAAAGAGTGACGAAAATTGCTAGAAGCACTCACGTTCAGAACCCGTGCCCCCTAGTTGCAACACGTTTTTGGGTCCAGGAGGAGAAGACAAAGATTGGCGACGTAAGAAGTATCACACGACATGCAACCAGGTGTTGTCGTGGGTGATGTGGTGCAATCCGATTTGCTCCGAGTGATTGATGAAATCAGAGCTCTTCGCTCGAGAGAGACCAAGGCCCCTTACGAAAGCTTAAAGCCTCTCTGATTTGCAATGTAGGGTTTCGTGTGTTACCCGGCGAAAGATGTCGCAAGCCTTTGACGAGGCCGGATGTTCGACCACAGGAGCAATCAAGCAGATGTTCGTAGGGATCTTCCACGCCCTTAGGGCGCGTAACCATTTTCGTTTTTTCTGAAGTTACGTTTAGAACGAACGTTCGACAGATGGACGGTTCCATTGCACATAACGAACCGTCCGTCCAACGAAACAGAACGCCAACATTTGAACCGTCTTGCTGAACTTTTCTGATAATAACGACTGTTACGCAGTCATACAGCTCTCGCAATTTTCGCGAGCCAATATATGCGGCTCGGCCAACAATTTCGCACGTTCATGAATGAGTTCACCGAAAAAATGTCAGTTTCAGTTTTCCCCGCGAGTACAGAAGAATTTCGTGCGCCAACCACAAATCGCCATATTTGATCAGTTCATTGCTGACGAACCGTAACCGTGCAAGTGACGGTTTCCCTCCGTTTTGCGGAAAAAGTTCAGTACGGTTATGTTGCGACGGCGACGTCGCAGGGTTACTTGCGAAAAATCTGCGAGCAATGACGAAACGTGTAACCAGTGTTTCGAACGGACTGTCCGAATAACGAACCGTCAAAACCAAAATGGTTACGCGCCCTTAGTGACTCCGCGACCAGTTCTGGCGGAAACTTGATTTACTACAGTTCCGCCAGCCTCATAGAATCTCCATCAAGCGATGCGATGAACCTCCATTTCTGTACCTGAAAGCCCAGATCCCACAAAACCGCCGAAAGCAGGCCTACCACACCCGCCAGTTTACCCCCGCTAAGTCTTCATCCCTCAGTTTTCGGCAGATCTACAATTTTCTGATGGTATGGACGCTCGCGACTCCGCCGTTCGCGCTTTCCCTGTTTAAGTTTATTTTATCGTCCCTAACGCCACTCGTCTCCGCTCGTATCCTTTCGTCTCTTTTCGTCTCCGTTTTCCCCCGCTTCCTGTGCTCGCGATTCCTTTTCCCGCCAGTTGCCGTTGTCGCTGCTCAAAACGGCGCAAGGCCATCCCATGGTACGTACCCGCTTACGCAGTTCTAAAGTAATTTCCGTTAACGACGTAGTTACTGGAGCTCCTAAGCTCGTGTTTGTGAGTGCTTTGCGAAACATTTAGTCCACTCGTGCCTCCCCACTCCCCCGCCTGGGTAAGATTCGAATTGGACCAATCCATTAGGGTTGGTTTCTGTCCCTTTGAAGTGCATGTTAAGGTTTCGGTCTTATACTAAAGTTCAGGTAATGGGTTATGTAGAAACTCGATGTATAGGGTTGGTTTCGATGGGTTTCGATCTCCACGGATTTCTACTCACAGTCTTGTTGATGCGTTTCCAACCTGCGGTAACTAGAGCTCGCACTCTGTTGACACGTGGATGAAGCAATTACCTGCAGGTCATCTTCGCGTCCCCGTTCTCTTTCCCCTTCCACCCTCTTCCATTCCACCCTCTTAACGCTTCACTCCTCTTCACTCCTCTCAACTCCTCTCCACTCCTTGCTCCCGTCCAATTCAGCTGGTAGAGCTGAAGAATGGCGAGACGTACAACGGGCATCTGGTGAGCTGTGACACGTGGATGAACATCCACCTGCGCGAGGTCATCTGCACCTCCAAGGACGGCGACCGCTTCTGGCGCATGCCGCAGTGCTACGTGCGCGGCAACACCATCAAGTACCTGCGCGTGCCTGATGAGGTGCGTGGGTGGGTGGGTGGGTCCCTGTGTCTTTTTCTGCACGTGCGAGGACGGATGCTGCTTCTCACGTGGTTGGAGTCGGCTCACAACTTGCGTGAGGGAAGGGAGGGGAGGGGTCATCCGCACGCCCAATCATGGGGATTGCGTCTTGCGCATGCCGCAGTGCTACGCGCGAGGCGACACCATTAAGTACCTGCGCGTGCCTGATGAGGTTGGCGGGGAAGAGCGGGGAGGATGGAGAGTGGGAGGTGGGTGCGTTGACCGTTGAGGGTATGTGTGTTGTTGGCTGCATGCCTCAGTTCTACGTGCGAGGCACCACCATCAAGTACCTGCGAGTGCCAGGCGAGGTGGGTGGGGGGTGGGGGATGGGAGCAGGGAGAGCGTTCCTGTGTCTTGTCTTGCTGTTTCAAGAGTGCCACGTGTGACTGTGAGGCAACACCGTCGCGTACCTGTGAGTGCCAGATGAGGTGGGCGGGTGGGTGGGTGGTGTGTGCTGTGACCGTTAAGGGTGTGTGTGTTGTCAGCTGCATTGAATGATTCAGATTCAGATGATTCTATGCACTAACCTTAGCTGCCTCTAGACGTACCTTGTAGAATGATCTGTGCTTTCTGTGTGCTCCAATCGATCCACACGGATCCATGTTCGTTCATTCCATGCGTTTCTAGATTTGAGTCGATTCAAACCTCGTTTTCTTTTCTGTGTGGCCCACCCCACTCGATCCATGTTTATTGTGTGCGTTTTAGGTGATTGACAAAGTTCCAAAGTCCAAGAAGGCTAAGTTTTTAGTCGACTCAACTCAAATGTCATGTGCTTCCATGTGTGTGTTGTCCTCTCCATCCCTCCATGTACATTGTGTGTTGTGTGCATCTCAGGTGATCGACAAAGTACAAGAGGAGGTCATCAGAAGACAAGGTAAATTACTCCATGCCTTGCCACATTACCTTACCTGCACAGTACTTTTCATGCCATGCTGTCATGCCATGCTGTCATGCAATGCTGTCATGCCATGCTGTCATGCCATGCTGTCATGCCATGCTGTCATGCCATGCTGTCGTGCCATGCTGTCGTGCCATGCTGTCGTGCCATGCTGTCATGCCATGCAGTCATGCAATGCTGTCATGCCATGCTGTCATGCCATACTGTCATGCCATGCTGTCATGCCATGCTTGCCGCCTCGCCTCTCTACCCCCCTCGTTTCCGCACCCCCTCTCTCCCTACCCCCTTCGCTCCCTGCCCCCCCACTCTCGCTACCCCCCTCTATCTGTGAACCCCTCTGTACCTCCCTCACTCCCTACCCCTCTCTCCCGACCCCCCTCTCTCCGTACCGCCCGCACTTCCTGCCCCATTCACTCCCTATCCCCCTCTCCGTACCCCCCTCTCTCCCTCTGGCCCACGCTCTCCATACCCCCTTTTTCTGCACCTTTTTCACGTCCTGCCCCCTCCACTCTCTTCGAATTGCGGGCCGATACAGCAGGGCAGGGATGCAAGCCTTGTTTTGCCCTACTAGCCCCTTCACTGTCTGCCCTCCTCTGCCTCTCCCTTCAGATTGTGGGATACAGCAGGGAAGGGGGGGACAAGGCAGAGGGTGCATGGACGTGAGGGGAATCTCAGCACTTCAAATTTTGCTCCTCGAACCTCATTACCACCCCCCTTCTCCCCTTACTCCTGCACTCCCTACTCCCACTCTTCTCTCCCTTGCTCCCAGATCGTCGGCCGATACAGCAGGGCAGGGGGAGAGGAGGCAGAGGGCGCATGGACGAGGGGGGAGGGGGGAGAGGAGGCCGGGGAAGAGGGTGGGATGACGGGGGGCGAGGAGGAGGGAGAGGAGGAAGAGGAGGTGGAAGAGGAGGAGGTGAGTACAATTTTGCAGGGTAGTTTGTTCCTTTGTGAGGTACTGTATTCCTGTCCCTTTCTTGAGACATCTCAATATTATTTCACTGTAATTTTTTGTCCGATTGTTGCAATATATGACTCCCTCCGATGCCTTCTTGGCTGGCAAGCATTCCTGCCGGCATATTTTCACATGATCACTCGTTGATGATTCTTTTCTTTTCCTTTTCAGGACCAGGAGGAAGAGGCAGGGGCTGAGCGGCCATTGGTTGGGAGTGTGGGATGTGTGTGTGTGCAACAGCTCAGTGCGCTCTCCTTGGTATCGTGCTGCACTGTGCTCTTTGAAAACTGGCTAGGTTCAACGAACATGGCTTTGGAGTTGCAGTCAATGCGCCCGCCCTGACATGTGTGCAACAGCTCAGTGCGCTGAAACATGGCGCTCAGTACTGGGCAGGATCAATCAATCGTATATGATATATCACATCAGTCGTGTTGAAGTAAATGGTTCTGGAGAGCTCATGAGTTGGTGAACTTCCAACTAAACTGTTGGGCTCAGGAGGGAGGGAGGTGGTATGCAAGCTATGGACATGAGCTGGCAGGAGCTGGCAGGAGCTGGCAGGAGTGCTCAACACCGATAAATTGTGACGCATCAGAAGCTTAGTGGTACGGTACGGTACCGGTAGTCTTGTAAACACAAGGTTGAAGCAGGGCTGACGTTTCAAATTTAGGTACCCTGAGTTCAACCTAAAAAAAAAAAAAATTACCCTGAAGGCACATTTTCCAGAGAAACAGCACCCTGATTGCTCAGGGTTGAGAAGTAGTGAACTCTGAATGTTCAGGGTCGAGAATTGAAAATCAGGGTCGTAGTAACGCGCTCTTTCTTTACCGGGGAAAGAAGAATCTGCCTTGACCTAGCGCAAAGAGATTTCCGTACAGAGCAAAGGTCGAATCTGCTGTTGGTGTCGCAAGGGTGACTGTGACTGGCGCTGTGACTGGCGCGCTGTGACTTGCGATGTGACTGGCACTGTGGCGATGTGACAGGCACTGTGGCGATGTGACAGGCACTGTGGCGATGTGACTGGCGCTGTGACTCGCGATATGACTGGCGCTGTGTCAGACACAACTATTTCGACCAATAACAGCAACCTAGAACTGACATTACAGATTCGCCCGATCTCAATTATGTATGGGAACGAACATTCGTAGAAACTTCGTCCCGATAAAGCGAGGGATGGGGGGGTGGGGAGGGGGGGGGGGATTACGCACGTGGGGGGTACTGAAATCAATCCGAAGGCGGGGTAATCAGAACAAACTTTCCGAGAAACTTCGTCCCGATAACATCGCATTCAGGGTCCATAGGCCGCGTACTCTGTAGTGACAGGGTCCGTGAAAACCCTACACTGAGAGTTGTCAAATGTTTATATGTTATAGATGTTAGTTATCTAGGCTACAGTGAGTTGCCCTCTAAAGGGTACAACATTCTCTAGGTCGACTTGTATCCTATTGTTCCTACCCACTCAACACATTCTCTCGACACTTGTTCTCTCAACCATTCTTACTGCCAGTGGTCTCTAGTTCAGCGGCTGGCAGCCGCTTCTCTCGCCGGTCACCTAGGTTAGACCCTTGTGGTCACTAGCTCCTCCCCTTTAGCGCCCATATCTGGAGTTCCTCCCCGGTTCACGCCTAGCCTAGGTCACTCCGTGCTCCAACCGCCTCTAGCCTAGCCTCCAGTATGGAGTCTCGCCGCCTTCGGTTCGATGCGGAGGGACGCCCGATCGAGTTCAGTACCTGGCAGCGCCAGACCACGCGCTACCTCACCAGTCAGCGACAGGACGGCGCCACTTTGTGGGCTCACGCGTCTGGTGCCCTACAGGCCCCCCCGTCCCCCGCCGCCCTGCCGACCACCCCGGAGCCGACCCCTACGGCCCAGGCGGAGTACGACCGTCGGGTCCTGGCCAGGGACGTGTGGCTCTCGCGTGACGCTGCTGCCGCTCTCACACTGTCGGAGCTTCTCCCCCCGACTGAGGCCGCCCACTTTGACCAGGTGGAGACAGCCCAGGGGGTGTGGGACGCTATTGTTGCCCGCTAATCCACCCCCTCCTCTGCCTCCCTCAGTCGCCTCCTCATGCCGTTTGTGTTTCCCGACCTAGGCTCGTTTGCGACTGTTTCCGACCTAGTGACCCACCTCCGCTCGCTTGACGCCGGTTTCCGTGCTGCCTGTACCGACGCACAGCTCCTTGTTGCTCCCCCCCCCATGTGGCTCACTGTGCACTGGTTAGTCACCCGCCTCCTTGACCGCCTTGCCACTGCCCGCGACGCGCTTCTTCAGAAGCACCCCACTGAGCTCACTATAGACCTCCTTCAAACTGCTCTCGGGACCATCGAGAGCAGCCTCCTCACTGTTGCCTCCGCCACTGATGCGGTGCCCCCCCGTCTCTTTGCGGGGTGTGCCGCCCCTCAGCTTCCCACTTTCACCTCTTCCCGCGCTTCTGCTGCTGTGTCGGTCTCTGAGGACACCGCCGCTGTTTCTGCCGCAGACTGGTAGAAACGGGGCAAGAGTGGCAAGAAGGGCGGGAAGGGGGGAGGTGGGGGCGGTGGAGGCGGCGGTGGAGGTGGCGGTGGAGGTGGGAGCGGCGGTGGTGGCGGAGGCGGCGGAGGCGGCGGCGGTGGTGCACCAGGGGGAGGGGGCCTTGGAGGAGGTGCTGGACAGACCGGCCCACCCACAGGTGGTGGCCCGACCGGTGGGGGCGTTGCCCCCCAACAGCAGCAGCCACAGCAGCACCAGCCACAGCAGGGACAGCAGCAGCAGCAGGGACAGCAGCAGCAGCAGGCACCGCAGCAGTTCCAGCAGTGAGGGCCCCCGCTGCAGTGGGGTCCGCAGCAGCACTGGGGTCCCCCGCCGCAGTGGGGTCCGGGAGGCCCCGGGAGCACCGGCCGCAGCAGCAGCTCTTCCAGCTGGGCCCCTCGCCCCCCTCGCCGTGACACTGGCCCCTGCACCCACTGGTGCCTCACCGGGCCGGGCAGCCCCTGTCTCTGTGGTCGCGACGACCACTCTGCCGCGCGGTGCTTCCGCCGCCTCGACGACCTCTACCGGGCTCGTTGGGGCCCTCTGGCGGTCACGCCTCGCTGGTCTCGTCTGTTAGCCCGTAAGATTGATGTCTTTGATCTGTCCATGGACGATGCTCGTCAGCATGCTTTGTATGTTGATGCTGACTTTAGTGCTGATGGATCTGTGTGCTCGCGTGTTCGTAGTTTAGCCTGCTTGCCTCCTGCTAGTGTAGCCTTGTGCCTGTCTAGCTTAGGTGCTTGTGTTGCTGCTCTAGGTGCTTGTGTAGCGACTGGGTCAGGTGACCCTCCGGCTGAGGCCTCTCTGTCGTTCACGCTCGACTCTGGCGCGTCTCAGTGCTTCTTCCGCGACCACACGACCCTTACGCCACTCCTCACACCTGTGTCGGTGGCTCTGGCTGATCCTACCTCTGGACCAGCCGTTGCGCGTAGCTCCACCACCCTCCCGTGCCCTGTGGTCCCCTCTGGTGTCCTGCGCGGCCTCCACATCCCCTCGTTCACTCAGAACTTGGTGGGTGTTGGATACCTCCAGGACAGGGGGATCACGGTTACCTTCGTGGGGGGTGGGCGGACTGCAGTCTGTACTGACGCTACCACAGGTGCTGTTCTGGCCACGTTCACCAGGGAGCCCCGCTCCGGTCTCTACGTTCTCCACACCGAGCGCTCCCCGGTCGCGTCCTCCCCTCAGGTCGTTGCGTCCCCTCCGGCACAGGTCCCCAGTCCAGTTGCTGTGTCTAGCCAGGTAGTCGTGTCCAGTCCGGTCGCTGTGTCCAGTCCAGTCGCTGCGTCTTGCTCCTGTCGCTCTCTCGCCCACCGCACCGTCCTTTGGCACCACCGTCTTGGCCACCCGTCAATCCTTCGCCTTCGTGGCATGCTCAGTCAGGGACTAGTCACAGGTCTCCCACGCACCTTCCCGTCGCTCCCTCTCTTGTTTGCCCCTCCTTGCTCTCCGTGCGTCGCCGGTCGCTTACGCGCCACTCCCCACTCCTCCTCCCTTCGTCCGGCCACCGCTCCCTTCGAGACTCTCCACTTGGACGTCTGGGGCCCTGCCCCGACGCAGGGGTCTCGGAGGGAGCGTTAATTTCTGGTGGCCGTTGACGACTTCTCCAGGTACACCACAGTGTTCCCTCTTGCGAAGAAGTCCGAGGTGACTGCTACGCTGATCAGGTGGCTTCTAGCCACTGAGGGCACTCGTGGTCGTCGAGTCAGTTGTCTCCACTCCGACCGTGGGGGCGAGTTTCGCTCCGGCATTCTCGGCGGATTCTGCGGCGAACAGGGCATCACCCAGTCCTGGACGCTGCCAGAGTCCCCACAGCAGAATGGGATTGCTGAGAGCGGCATAGGCTTGGTCATGGACATCGCCCGCACGTC